TAAATTTCTATTTATGAAAAGGTTACATAGTTATGTGATACTGAATTTCTGGCAAATTAAAGAGAAAATGTAAGGACAGTAGACAAGAAAGAAAATGAATAACATAATTTTTTGCCCTTTTTGCCAGCATTGTGATTAAAACAAAATGTTGGCATTAAATCTTGGTTTTATTATAATTACAAACTGTACTTAACGAAAAAAGAATTACCAAACCTTATTTGGACGAGATAAACTTTTTAATATTTTCTAATGGATTCGATGTAACACAAATATATTTGAAAATTTTAAAATCACAATTAATACACGAAAAAAAAAACGATTTTACTGAAATATCTAAAATTTAGCTAGATACAGATCTGAAAATAAATTTTGTTGAATTATTGAAATAATTATTTAGAATGCTCAAATTAGGAGGTTAGAATATGTTAAATTTTTTTCAGTATTGCTCATCATTGAATTTTCTACATATTTACTTTGATAGTTCAACAAAATTATGTTCAGATCTGTATTTATCTAAATTTTTCAATATTTCAGTAAAATCGTTTTTTCCATGTAGCATTTGTATCATGTACATTTATACCAGCCATTTTAAAAATATTAAACGTATATATGATTGAATAGTCGATGCGTAAATACATGAAGAGTCGGTGGCAGTGAAAAAAAATCGTTGTGTTTCGTCGCTTCTCGTATGTATCATTGGAATCATTTCTTGCAATCACAGGAATGGCGTGACAGCAAAATGTATTTTGTACATGGTTCATTGCAAATGCAACGAAGTGATGAATGACTTTCTCGCCGTGCGAACGCAACGATTCTCCCTTGTGAGTAACAAAAATAAAAATAATTTTCAACTATTCCACTGCCCGTGGGAAATTCGGATTCGGAATGCGAATTCAACATGATAACCACCTACTGTTCTTCTTTTTCTTTCATCGAAATGTTCGAGCGTATCAAATAGGAAACGGTGAATTTTCGGGGCTATTTACGTCATGGATGTGTTATTTAATGCCAATCGAAGGGCGACCAAGATATCGCTCGATCGATATTAGATATTGCGTCCGTCAGTGCGTTGGCGTTAACAGAAAGGAATACAATAATTTATAAAACGAAGAATTATATATCTATCTACGTAGATGATTTTATTACGTGTAGTAATAACAATGCTAAAATATTTTGAGTGGAGAACTCCAATGACTGAAGTTAATTCTGCTGACATTAAATAGAAAAAGTTAATCCTTGAGTAATCTGGACATCTCTGCAATATTCAACCATCATGGTTATGCAGATATGCTGCATTTTTCACAAATTTTTTAATAAATATAGGTATATTCTCCACTCAAAAATATGTGTTAAGAATTCTATTATATCCGGAAAATATATGTTAAGAATTCTATTACCTCCGAAAAAGTACTTGCACAGTTTTATAAATTTCATATTACACAAACTATAGATATAAGTTACACATATATATGTTTGTACGTAATTCTCGCAACATGAAAATAATTAGCATGAAGGGAACAACACATTGTCCTTGAAATTCAACGTATGGCAGAAACGTCACGCACCAGGTGTTATTTATGATTTATCCCCCAAGTGATAGTAAACTGCATAAACACGAGAGCATAAACTGTCCAGCCGTTCACTTGTAACGCCCGTGTCTCCGTTGCGTTACGCGAGATATAAACGGAAAAAATTTGCCATGTTAGAAAATTCAATTTTATTGAGAATTTCGTTTCGCATTACGAGTTATGTTACGGAATGATGATTCGAGTCCGAGTATACACCTATCGCGCGGCGATCTGAGAACTCTGCACCCCGACGCGACGCGACGCGTCGTCGACGTCGCTGACTCGACATCGTGGCGCCGGATACGTGACAAGCACAACAAGCGACGGACAGGAAACGACGAAAATGCAAACACGGAAGAGGAAGCCGCGAGAGAAGACGTAGATAGCAGCATATTCCGGGATAAGAACGGAATATTAAAGGATTTGCTAAAGATACCTCGCAAATGTTCGACAGAGTAGCAAAATTATTTCGATTTTCTGTCAAAGAGACGGCCGAATGGGAATGGTAACAGTAGTCTTCTTCGTGTTGAATTCGAATGTCTTCTGTATAGGTTTTTTGAAATATAATATGTTATTATTCTCGAATGGTCATAATAGTATATAGGTATAAGTGTTAAGCTTTCGTTTCTTATGAAATCTTTGTGTGAAAAATGACAATGAAAATCTGTATTTTTAACATTGTAATTAACATTGTAAGATTCATAAGAGATTGAGTCTAATAGTAATCACAATTTTATGTATTTAACTTTTATATTTTACTATTAATTATATAATTTTTATATAGAATATATGAAAAAAATTTATAATATAATATAATATGTATATTATATTATTCTGTTATATTATTTGAGGAATTACATGTGCAATAGGAAAAACGATGAATATATTTTGTGTCAGGACAAAAGTTAGAGTAGTATAAGTTTGAGAAGCGAAACAAAAAATTGAGCATCACGATGTTTTTTATAACAAAATCGTAGCAAACGTAACTAAATATTTTTAATATTTAGTTACGTTTACTAATTTAATATTTTCAAAATATTTTTATTGATAGTATGCTATCTTCTTAATTTACTTATGTTTTGGCACGTCTTCGTCTATTTTCGTACACTAAGTAAGTGCAGCGATATCTATAGAAATATATTCTTCATTTGATCGTAACGCGTTATAAAGTAAAGGAGGATGAGGTGAATAATATAAGAGGAAGAAGTGAATTGTTACGTCGTAGTGCGGGATACATTAAAATAGGAAAGAAAGATATAGAGGAGAGAAGCGAACGCGGAAAAGGAGAGAAAATAAGAGCAAATTGGACTATCGATGAGCATTGAACAAGCGAGAGGCGAATCTTTGAGAATCAGGAAGAAAGATCATAAAGAACTCACCTTAGGGGATAACGATGAAACGATTGCAACGTAAATGGGAGAATTGTGCAAGTTATATCTAAAAATAGTGATAGTGAATGCCGAAATGAATTGAGTTACAATATAAAAACTTAAAAAAGAGAAAAAATTCAAAAGCAATAATTAGTTAATAACTAGAAAAGGAATGAAAGCATATAGATTGTTTTTTCGTTCTTTGATTTCAAAATTGAGATGTAAGCGTATATGTGTAATGTGTATCTATCTGTGCGTGTGTAGATATGCATTAAAACTATTAAATAATTGTATATATATACATACATATGTACATGTATATTTTATATATATATTTTTCTATATTTTTTAAATATCATACATATGATATTTAAAATTGTATCTTCAATACAAGATTTGGCTAGATATCTTTATACGAGAAAAATATTCTCGTATATTTACGAAAATTAAAATACTAATGTGAAATCGACTATGAATTTGTTGAAAAACGGTTAAATAGAACTTTTTGTTACCAATTACACAAACACAATGTATCCGACGTGAATCAGAATGAAAAATGTTTAATGATATATTATATAAAATTTTTGGGAGGTAATCGATGACAAAATAGAGAAATATACGTACCTTGATTTAAAATTAAATTTTCTTTAACAAAAATCCAATTACATGGCGTCTTTTCAATATTATTTAAAATGTTTAAATAAAAATAAAAAAGAAAGAGATCAACCAAAATTCTTCAATTTTCGGTGCGAAATAATGAGATTTGTTGTAAAACTTTCGCTAGGAAAGGCATTTTCAAATTTATCTTACGATTTAACACCAATTAGCAAACACTGCAAGTGTACACTAGCGAGATTAAAAACAAGAAGATAAATCGAAAAGAAAAGAAAGTGCGAGCATTGAGTAGTGACGCATATCGAGCATGAGACTCTGAACAACGACGAAAGAAACCAAGAGAACCACCGTGAGCAACCTCAATCACCACCTTCCGAACGTGGAGGCAATTCGGAACTACTTCTACATCGAATAACGTGCATGTATATACATGTATGCGACAGTGGAATGTGGGCGTTGGGCGAAAAAGCCTCCCTAGAAAATAGATGCTAGATCAAACGAATAGTAGCTGTAAAGCGAGAGAATTGAGAAAGCTAAAAGGGGGGAGAGAGAAAGCGAAAGAATAAAAGGAGAGTAGGGGAGGAAGAGAGAGAGAGAGAGAGAGAGAGGGAGAGAGAAATAGTGCTTACGAATATGTACGCAACCGTGATGCGAGAAAGCAACGAGAGAGAAATAGAGAGAAGCCAGTAACGAATTAAAGAATCTCGGAGCCCTAACCGATTGTCTAAACTCATGCCTATTTCTATCAAAATAGATTAATTTTAATCTCGGTTTAATTTATTCTTCCTTTTCTAAGTCCAAGAATTAGGAAAAGATGGAGAGTAAATTGAACCGAGATCCAAAGTTAATCTACATCGACGGAAATAAATCAGCATTAATGATAAAATTTAATAATGTTGATTGACTATAGCTTGATCGATCGTTCTCATTTCTTGTTAGCCTGCTAACCGTACAAAGGGAGGAAATTAAAATTCTGTTATAATAGTGAAAATCTTAAAATTCAAACGTGAGGAATTTTGAACTGAACTTTTTGCGAAATGTTGCGATGCACTTGATAGTCTTTAAATTTTCAACGAACATAAAATAGGGAACATGGAAGAAATTAGATCACACACGCAATTTAGCAGATAACTATAAAAACTGATTGAGAAATTTTGTCGATGTTGAAAAAGTGTCATTATGTCAATGATTGATGAAGCCTTGAAAAGTGTGAGAATCGAATTTCTGCGCCTTGGGGCGCCCGCGCACCCCAGACCGCCGGTTCGCCACTGCATGGAATTTAGCGATGCGGCGGCAGCAGCGTGGAGAGAAAGAGAAATGAAGAGAGAAAGAGAGCGAGAGAGAGAGAGAGAGAGAGAGAGAGAGAGAAAGCGAGCGTATAGTGCCAGCCGGCCGGCAAGGGAGGAACGATGTTGCGGACTATCGACCCGGTCTCTACTTTGGCTTGACGCCTGCGCCTGTCATCGGCAATCCCTCCTACCGTCCCGCGAGCCGTCTTGCCGGCGTCGCGGCGCTCTACGCAACGTCGGTGTGGCGACGGTGGGACCAGCAGTGCCTCTCACGATTCCGTTCTCGTTCTGCCCTCCGTCTCGTGAACGCCATTCGTACGTGTCCGGTCCGGGGTGTCACCTAGGTGCCAACACGCGCGCACACGTACACCGCGTACGTAACGCACACGCACGCAATACACGCACACACACACCCGCATACATACACACATACACATACACACACGTATAATGTTACATATTAGGCTCTAATCTCTATCCCGATCCGTCTTTCTTTTTCTCTCTACTCGCTTTGTCGCCGTTTCTCTCGCCTACTTGTCACTTTACACACTTACGTTACACGACCATGTTCTAACGCGATCACTACCGGCGCGTATCACCCACTCACCGAGCTACAGTGTGCGATTCTTTTTCCGTTTCTATATCTATCTAGTCCTTGTCTATATATAACACGGATATGCGGCAAGAAAATCCAATTAAATATTCGTATTGGTGCTAGCCGACGTAGTGTCGGTGCGACCATCGTACCGGCGCCTTCTTTCATCGAAGATGTCACGAGTATCTTTCTTTTTGCAAAATGCTTGTGCTTTTCTTGGTGCGCACTCGTAATACGCGAGCCGGTAAGTTGACAGGTGGACGTCGAAGAAACTTCGGCTAGACCGGCGATGGAGACATTGGGAGAGAAGAAAAGAAAGGGGATGAGAAGGTGACAGGAGGGAGAAGGAGCGAAGGGGAGGGAAGGATGGATAAAAAGGGGAAAGAGGAAGAAGCTCCATGCTTGACGAGCAGGAGGTTTCTTAGGACGGAGATGAAACGGTAAAATCAGAAAGAATGACTGGCTTTTTCACTTCCTGATCTATTTCGCTCTTATCCACTTTTTTCGCTGGCGAATTGCCTGGCAAAAATCCTCCGATATAATATTCGTTTTTCAATCCTCACGCACTACGTATCATTCTATTCGATGTTGTTTAAATGATTTCTAGGTTTCCCATGGATCTTGTTTGATAGACAATTAGCAAACTTTGATAGATCATGCAGTTTGAAAGTGACCATCTTTGTTCTTCTTAATTAATCTTCACATGCGCAGTTGTAGTCGATGACCTTGGTTGTTCCGGTTGTACATTGTCATTAACAATTTTGTATTCTGTTATTTTTTAACTTGACACCTGGTTACTATTGTAACATTCAATGGATTCTTCGTGTCTTTCAAGAATTCTCTCAGGTACGCGTAATTATGCGATGAGTAATTTTACAATACCAAAACGTATATTCATTCGCAAAATAGTCATACCTGGTAAATACCTGGCAGATATATATTCATTATTTCTGATCTATATTCTACACATACTTTTGTTCTCAGTTCTGAGACGACATTGACGATAATGTCGAACGAAGTGTGAAGGCTGCTTATCCATTCCTTCGTTTCCTTCTTTCGTATTCTTATCCTTGTTAAAAATCTGCATAATTATCTTCTGACTGAGAAATTAATTTAATATTCATACTTCTCATTACATCGTTCGTAATGAAAGAATAAATCACATCGTGATCTTAGCTTGCCCAGAATATTGTCTCGATATTTAAAATAATTGTCACATTGTTATAATTATTAATATACAATTATTATTAGTTGGATTAACTAATATCAATTTTCATATTATTTTCCTGTTATAATGTATTTATTAATATTATAATTTTCATACTATAATGTATTAATATCAATTTTTACCATGGTATATTATAAGTACTACATAACAAAATATTTGCCTCTTTTGCATATTTCAATATGCTGATAAATATGAATCTCTCATTTCTTATATTTTTCAAGAAAATTGACTTCCTTGAGATATTACCAGTATATATATATATATATATAAAGTTATTCATCATTTGCAAATGTGTCGTTACTAGCTAGCAAATTTGAATCCTTCGAAGACTTCGTAATGATTTATTTCGAGTCACTTCTTATTCTATCAATCACATTCCCAATGTATTTATGGGCCATCTCATGTGCGTCTTGCACGAAGATCTCCGTTTTATCGCTTTGCCATTTCGTTCTTCCCTTATCGACGCTTCCGATAAATGTCGATACGGTCGCCTACTGATCGTTTTTAACATGTAGCCTGAGGCTAACCTTAACCTGAATATTGGGATCCATTTCGCAATTTTCTTTTTCGTCGGAGAAAAATCCATTGGATGGACCGTACGGTACGCGCAAATGCTGGCATTGTGTTTTATTCGTATAGGTATAGACTCACACATACGCATGTACATATCGGTCTACCGCTTTACACACGCCTTTTATACCTCTTTATAGCTAAAGATTTAACAGAATATCTCTGAATTTCCTAGATTGAAAATTACGAGAAAACATTAAAGATGTTTGTATAATTTTAAAGATGTAATATAAATGCAAAAATTTTTTTTATTCAATATTTGGATATTTTTAAAATAAACATGTTTTTATAAGATGAAAGACAGTTTTCTTTTACATTTTGTTGATAACAAAGAAGAAAAAAAGAGAACGTCATTTTATAATGTGATGCGAAAAATTCTTTCCTTAACATTTTTACATCCAAATCTGGAAGTTATTCAGATGTTTTTCTGTGAAAAATCCCATCAAAAAATTATATAAATTTATACATATATTATGTAATGAATATATAAATGTATATATTATATAATATCGTATTGCAAGACACACACTGATACACACACACACACACACACATACACACACATATACACACACATATACAGGATGAGCCAAGAGAACTTTCCACCTTGTTTTTTGTAATCAACTGATTTATGCTGGAACACGTCAACTTTTTTTAAGGGAAATGTACATGATAAATTGTGCTGCTCTTCACTGTTAAATCTATAGTGTTAAATTTAACTTAACGTGAGTCGCCACTGCTCCTACTCAATCATATCGTTATTTTATACTAAAACAATGGTTATATTTGACACTATACAGTGTCAATTTGACACTATACAGTGTCAAATTGACACGATATAGTATCAAATTTAACTATTATTTTGGTAAAAAATAATGATATATTTAGTAGGAGCAGTGGCGATTCGTTAGGTTAAATTTGACACTATAGATTTAACAGTGTTCATCTTCTTGACTAAGATAGCTAACCCTTTAAAAATTTTAAATGACAATAGGAATTAGATGACATATATTTAAGAGCTTTTTAATTCTCTTGAATTCTTCAGAATCTGTGTCTTTTTAAATTTTAGTGACTATCTTGTGACGTAACATCTTATATGGAATCCGGTGTCATAATACAAATTCTATTTTTAAAGTATCTCGAATAAAAAAAATATAATGAAAAAATCAGATGACCTTTGCAAGTCACTGAATTGAATTTTTAACTTTTAATACCTAAGACTTCAAAATTTTTTTAAAAATATTCACTTAAATAAAAAATAATAAAATAATTGTATAAAGAGAATTTAAAAAAACCTTTAAAACGATGTGTGTCACTTGATATTTTGTCATTTAATATTTGTGAAAGAGCAATTATCTTAATCAAGAAGATGAAACAATACACAGTTAAACTTATCATATAATTATACATTTTAAAAACAAAATCGGCATGTTTTAACATATTTCGCACAAATCAGTCGGTTTAAAAGGAACAAGGTGGAAAGTTTTCGTTGGCTCATCCTCTGTACACACACATACACTCATTATAAAGTGATGTAATTTTATTTATACATATATTTATATAGACATTTATATAAAATATATGTATGTACCTTAATATATCTAAATATCGCTTTATGTATGTACAATATACACAAATACGCAGAGGAAGCAATTCGGAGCCCGTGCCTGAGCCCGAGCGCCACTTACAAACACTGCCTTGAAGGCTGAGAAGAAAGAGGTAGTGTTGTTATAGTGAGAGGTGGACGAGAACGAGGATTCGTCTAGTGGTGTATCTTCCGTGATTGACGCCGAGAGAGAAAAACTACGTCCTCCTTCTCGGCAGAACATCTGCGTTCTGGTCTGCCGACGGCGTTGTCCGTCGTCATCGTCGCGGAGAAACGGCCGGCCTCCGTGCGTCGCTCGCTAACGCAGCGGCTGTGTGTCATTATTACTGTCCCACTGCCTCACACACCGCGGCCTCATGATTGGTTCATTTTGGAACCTATGCCGTGCGTGCCCTTCAATGCCGATTGATAAGGTGAGGAGACTAAGAAATTATATAATTGCGCTGCGGATATTTCGATTTGCTGCAAATTATTTGATCCAATTAAAAATAGATATTTCAAGGAAAAAAGGATATAGTAACATCTCTTTATGTTGGATACTTTGCTGCTCTATATAACGCAATAATAATGAAGGATAAAATAAAATAAAAATTAAGTAATAAGTGATAATAAAATAAAGTCGTTTTTATAGCATCGAAATCCAAAATATATATCTCATTGTACTCTGTACAATGTTTTATTGAAACAAAAGTTTCAATGTACTTTCCTATCCGTTTTGTCTAACCTTTGGTAGAAGTATTTCAAGCTTCTTTCACCAACTCTGATTAACACTAATCGATGTTTAACTCGATCATCGCGATTGCCAATGTGAGAACTAAACACAATGTGTCTCAGAAGACGAAGAGAAAGGAAACGTTCTGATATATGAAACTGCTATTGGCATTTCTGCGAGTTGATCGTCGATTAATTTAATCAGAAATTGGTGAAAGAGACTTTTCATATAGAGTCCCGATAGATAATTTATTAAAAAATAAATTATCTTAAAGAAGGATCCATTTTCAATATTATATATCTTTATAATTTTTTCAAGTTAAATCAAATTTCCGTTTAAGCAAATCCTGTTTGAAATTAAATAAAGAATACCGTTTTGTTATTCATTCTTTCTCTACAGACTTGCTAACAGCCTTTTTGACTTTTAATCGGTAATAACTTTTCAATATTTTCGTTAAGGAAAAACGAATTTCGTATAGAAACTGTACTATAAACAATAACCGATAGTTTTCGGTAGATGGCTGTGTAGAAAGCTAAAGATTCTATAGCTGTCTAATGGTACGATTAATCAGAATGGCGACTGCATTGATTCAATAGTCGTGTATTGCTTGTTTGTCGCCAGTCTCATAAATCCACGAGCGATTCGAGGAAATGTACTTGCACTACTTTATATAGCAACTTGGGGGTGGTTAGTGTATTCAATTTCCATTTGTATCTATTTAATTTTTCTGTAAAATTCCTTTACTCTTTTCTTTATAAATTTTTCAATTGTTTTAATTTTAATTTAAAGTTTATAATCATTGTGTGAATTTAACTGTAATAAAGCAAGCAATAATTATAACTTGAACGATTTAAAACAATTATTATATTTATATATATAGTTATAAAATGAGTTTCTCAATTATAAAATAATTTTTTTATGTTATACAGCAAAGAGAAAAGTGAATATTTTACTTTAATAATGTAATAAAAACATGATAACATAATCTCCTATAATTTTATCATTTGTTAGTAATATTTTGTCAAAAGCACGAATATTTTGGTTCGTTTACCATTAACTTAATGAATATAATTACTTGGCAATGTTTATAAATCATTGTTATGAACGTTTACCCGCCAACAGGAACGATTAGCAATGGAGAAAATTGGGGGAGTCTTTTGTAATGGTGAATTGTGGGAGAAATTTAAGGGAAGTAGACAAGCAAACTTATTATGCCTTATTTCTTGCAAGCAATTTTGAGAAATAGGCAGCTTGGCTAACTCAATTGCCTTCGTGATTTCATCTCTTTCAGTCTTCACTGTTAATAAAATTTGTTCAATCTTTACTGTTGATAAAATTAAAAAATCAGATTTGAAAATTTTACGTAAATTGTGAAACACAAGATTTTCCTTACACAAATTAAATCGCAAATTTTTTAAATTTGCTGTACAAGTAGGGATACAAACAAATGTCTGTCAGATATAAATGCAATATAACTTGCATACTTAAGAACTATGCACGGAGTCCTTAAGTATTACGTTTTCGTAAATGCTTCTCTGCAGTAGATTTACGATGCACAAATTTAGTATATTATGAAATATTGCTTAATAATTTATGCTTATAAGGCATGAAATCCCCGAAACGTATGATACAAAATGTAATTTGCTTTACATGCATAATGCAAGATGAACTACTGAAAAAAGTCAACTACGAATATGCGTATAACATCGCATATCACTGCTTAAAATTTAGCATGACGTGATTTATAATGATATTTCGTTCATGCGACATTATGTATTAGTTACAATGATGGATAAATATTATTAATATTAATTAAATATTATACAAAATAAATAAATACAAATTAAATATATATTTCTTGAATTTTCTGTGATATATAATTTTACGAAATAAAGTTGATATTTCATAAGAGATATTTTTTCATATTTATCGTGTAATTTTTGTTAATTTAGAAATTAAGAGACTTTACATATCTTTTTAATCTATTACATTATTTATGCAAAAGTTGAACTTTTCTAATTAAGATCTACTAAATTCGTATTTTTAATTATTGTTATTAATTTATTATATATAATATATAATATATATATTGTTATTAATTTATTATATATAATATATAATAACTAGCAAATATGATGTGTATAAATTGATTGATTTTTATTGCAGAGATGCAGTAATTTATTAGTTTGGTTTGACAGATCTCATCAATCGTTTATGTATCATTCTATATGCATTGGTGGCCGAAGTGTTCCGCTCCAAGCGGAACAGATTTTATCGGTCTGGGAGATCGCTTAAATATCATACTTCCTTTGGTCGAGTGCAGCATTTTTCATCTTATCGAAATCGAATTACTTTATCGATTCCGTTAGATTATGGCACGTTTAGCATGATTTGTATGCATCGATTTTACATCGTGCATGGATTTTCTCCTTCACAATGACACAATACTTTTGTCGCAAACTTGATCAAACTTGATCGTTTCAGAAGTCAGAAGTGGCCTCTTTTTTATTTTGCATAAAATTATATGCATTTCACTATTAATTTTCGCGAAACTGCTACAATTTTATCCCCATAACAAACTTTTGCAATTGTACTGAATAAAGTTCACTGTAGTACTTAATGTATTAGCACTGTCAGCACTTTGAGAAATGACATCAATAAAGGCATAATTGTTACTAGACAATTTACACATCTATCATAGAATTATTAGACACATGAATTGGAATCATTAATCAATGTACAGAATGTCCCATTTTAATTTTCGTCTTTTTTTTCGAAAGTTAAGGTTTTTTATCGAAAACAATTTTGTGACTTCTAGGGAAACAAGTTATGCTAGTGTCAATTCCGAATCTAAATTGGAAGACTCTTATTTTTATCTAAAAGTATTTTTAAAAATGGAATCAATTTTAATTCCTCATTTTTCATTAGATTCCACAAACTAAGGATTTTGTATCAATTTTTTAATATATATTTATGTACATCAATTTATATAACTTTTTATGCACATAATATAAATTAAAAAATATTAACGCATGTTAAAGAGGCTATAATCTCTCACAATACAACAATATTATTTATTACACCTTTTATTGTTCTTGAAAAAATTGATTTATTGAATTTCTGGAGTTTCCGCGAATTTCCTAATTAATGCAATAATAATTACTTCTGGTTAGCATTGTTCCGCATTGTGATTGCTATGCTAATAGTTAGCATAGAACTTACGTCATTATGGAATGGCCGTCGTCTCGCCGTAATATTACGTCATGCCCAAATCGATATATATTTTCGTCATGTACTTGCTGGGAACTTGCTTAACGATTTCAGCTGTATTTGCAATTTTTTTCTTGGTTACGTGAGTTCGCACGAAGCATATCGATCGCTCTTATTCGGAGAAATGATTACTAGATGCGTTTATATCGGAGAGTCCGTTCATTAAGTTAAAACCTATTCGAGAGCCAATTTGATTTTCAAAATGTGTGAAACTTGTACAGCAGTTACTTATCTTATTAAATAAAAGAAAGGAAAAGTAAAACATGTTAGGAACATTTTATAGTAAATAATTACTTTTCCTTTAAGTATAGTTTTTGTCGTTCCAAGAATTTGCTGTAAATTCTATTTTTAATTTCTTTTAAAAAAAGAGAAGTCTTTCAATTTTAATTTAAATGTAAGAAGAAGTGTAAAATATTTCTAATAATAATTAAAAGGAGTACGTTGGATGTCATGCAGCAATTATTGAAGAATGATATTCAAGTAAATAAGAGTAAATAAATATAAGAGTTATTTAATTAAATACAAATATTATGTAGTCCCGTTGTATCAAAATTTCGTCACAAATATGGCACAATACTACACAGAGAGAAAAATGTTTGGTATTTGTAACTATAATTATATATTACTATAATTATGATTATTACTACTATAATAATAATCATAATTATAGTAATATATAATTATAGTTACAAATACCAAACATTTTTCTCTCTGTGTACGTTATTCAAACGTTGAGCGAGATAAAATCATTCTTGACGAGTACAGAATCCGGATAAAAGTCGAATACTATCCAAAAGCGATATCGTGTATTGTCAGCTTGTCCTATATGACATTCGATCTGTTGCACCCATTTTTAAAATCGTGAAGAATGATCGGAAATATATCAGTTAATATTGCGAAAGTAAACATGACCTTTTGAAATTTTATCAACTGTAACAATTTACATATTATTCAATCGCATAAACAAAATATTTTAACAATTTCGAAAATATCGATTATTTTAATGTTTAATCATATATGTTGATAACTTTTTAAATGTGAGATTTAGTCTCCGATAATTTAATAATATAGGAAAGTTTCTGACTATTAAGTGGAAATAATAACATTAATGAAACGTTAATTTCCACGCTCTCTGAGTTTTTCTCGTCGCAATGGAATGAATTTCTTCGATATCGGGATTCGCATTTTCGTTTTACTTCCTGTTTGTAGAAGATATGATTAGGCGAAGCTGCGAGAGAGAAAATTATCCCATTTAATAGACGTACCTCTGTGCGATATTTTCTCGAATATTTTATCTTTTTCTTTCTCTATACTTTCAAGTGCCGATTAACTGATTAATCGCGTATTCGTATAAACTACGATGAAATGCACTGTATAACTGACTCACAATTGCGCTAGCGAGAAAAAGTGTCGTTTATCGATTGGCCTCAA